TAAACGAAATTGCCGAAATTAATTTGTGCAAGTTTTGCAAATGTGATTGTAAAGTTTTTTTTTTTGCATAAGTTTGAGAATATATAATTGAATGTTAGTTTTAATTCATTTTATTAATGCAGCCCCCCCCCCCCTATTCCCATCTTGCTATGGGGGGGGGGCTAAGCCGAGCAGTAGTAACATCTAGAAGTCTGCTGCTTTTATTGGTTGATCCATAAATGTGTACTGGCTCCCCTTGCATCATCATCACATTAGTAGCAGTTAATAAATTAAACAACTAGCATATGTAAAGAGCTAGTCTAACAATTTATGTTTATTTTTTTTTTTTATTTTTATCAGGCCCACTGCCCTTCTATCCAGCAGACTGCTGCTGGATGGGTTACAATTGAGCCAAAAACAGTTGGTCAGGGCAAGATACGGCCTCATTTTAGAGACATTTACTATAGAAAAAAGCTTGAACGTCGGGGACTGAACGCGGGCCTGCACGAGAGTTGTTCTTGACACTCAAATGTTTAGAGATTAAAATCTCTATAATTAGAGGGGGCAACTAAAATACCGCATTATTTAGTGAAATTTTGCAATGTCCAATAGTTTGGACGTTGGGGAACTGAGTCAGGACTTGCACGAAGGTTACTCTGCATCCAGTCCAAGTGGGAGAAAGAGAGGAAGCAAAATTTACTTCCTCGGAAAACTTGAATAAATAAAATAAATTTGTAGGCCAGAGTTTTGAAAACATTGGCAACCTTTTGATACAGAATGAAACTCTTAAACTATTACATACATCTTGAAGAATAATTCTTCCTCTATGAGATATATCTTTTTAGTTAGTTTAAAAGTTTCCATTAATTGTAATGATAATGCCTTCCTAACATGGCTCATTAAAATAATTTTTTGTTTATGAAATCGTGTAAGTATTTATGCAATATTTATTATAAAACAATCATAATACGCAATGGCATATCATTTTTATAAAGAGGCTTTATAAGGTAAATATAATAGCAACGCGAAAATCTTTCTATCTGACGTATTTTTATTTTAAATAAATACACTTGGGCGAAAAACATGTCTATTGCCCGCGTGAGCGACTTGGGTGGGCTCTTGCAGATTCTATGTATTTTAATCTCTAAACATTTGAGTGCCAAGAACATCTCTCGTGCAGGCCCGCATTCAGTTCTCGACGTTCAAACTTTTGCTATAGTAAATGTCTCTAAAAATGAGGCCGTATCTCGCCCTGACCAACTGTTTTTGGCTCAATTGTAACCCATCCTGCCGCAGTCTGGGTTAAATGCAGAATAGAACCAATGAAGAGCAGAGGTGCCATAGGCACAATCAGAGAACACTGTATAAACATCAGAGGTCCGCGGTTGTTCAACGTCCTCCCAGCAAGCATAAGAAATATTGCCGGAACAACCGTGGACATTTTCAAGAGGAAACTAGATTTATTCCTCCAAGGAGTGCCGGACCAACCGGGCTGTGGTGGGTATGTGGGCCTGCGGGCCGCTCCAAGCAACAGCCTGGTGGACCAAACTCTCACAAGTCGAGCCTGGCCTCGGGCCGGGCTTGGGGAGTAGACGAACTCCCAGAACCCCATCAACCAGGTATCAACCAGGTAAGTCTGCTGGGCAGGACCCAGTGCAGGTTTGGAAGGCTTTGGAAATTAAAGCACCGTAAGATTGTGAGTGTTCAAGTCTAGGGGGGGACTAAGCATTTTTTTGTGTGTGAATGTGCAAAGCCCGTGTTTATTTGTGTAAGTTAAAAATTGAGTTTTTGTTTGTGTATAAGAGTTTAGCAATGTGTTTAAGTAAGATTGTGCAACTGTTTTAAGTTTAGGGGGGACTAAGTATTTTGCGCGAATGTGAAAGCCCTGGGTTTATTTGTGTAAGTTAAAAATTTAGTTTTTGTTTGTGTATAAGAGTTTAGCAATGTGTTTAAGTAAGATTGTGCAACTGTTTTAAGTTTAGGGGGGACTAAGTACAGATAGCGCCAGTCGTTGCGCTATATGAAGTTATTGGGCCCCCACCACAATAGCTGAAAACTATTATGTTAAAAAATGAAATTTAATACAGAATACCCCAATACGTATTAAATTGCTTAAACTACTCAACTACTTTCCTTTATAGTATATTTACGAGTTTCAAATTAATGTTAGAAGTGTCAAACCCCAACACAATATGGCTGAGGCCCCACTATTTAAACTTCTTTTCGTATGCTATGAAATATCACAGGTATTGTTAATGCTTGTAACGTTTATTACAAAAGATAGACATACATTTGATGCTATTTTTCATATTAAAATCTAATTTGAGGCCCGAAAAATATATCTATAAACAGGTTAGAACCATACAAATTCAAGTATGCCTTTTTCACCAGTAATCAACTGTATGCCACAGAAAATGGAATCTTTACTTTAGCTACAGAAAACGGAGCAAAGCCAAGGGGGGATGACTGAAATAAACAGTTTCCAACCTGACTCTTCCCGCACATAAACATGTCTTTCTTGACCTCATTTCAAATTATATAGAGTACTGAAAGCTCATTTTCCATAGCAAATATACTAAGGAACTCATTTTACGACTAGAACGCAAACTAGGACCCCTCATTCAGATTCAAAACACGAGAATTATTGACTGAACATTTCCCCACTATCAAGCACACAGGACTCTTTAAAGCTATCTTAACTTCTTTAAAACCCCAATATGACCCATCTCACATGCAGATCCTGTTCTATGACTCGCCCTTCATGTCAATGTACCCCACAGTATCATGCAAATTCAAGATAAGGCTTACTACACCTATATATCCAAAATGGTCTTTGTAAGGAATCTTGACCCCCCCCTTGTATGCCAGACCCCCACTGGGGTTATCCACCTCTGACCATTACAGAAAATGGAGCTGTGCCCAAGGACTCCCTATACTATTCAGTCATAGCCTCATTAAAGTACTCCAAAAACTTCTATATTCGCTTTCAACTGTGTTTCTTGGTTTGAATCTATTGAACATTCACCCTCTGATCCATTCAAAAGTAAGGGCCCCCAAATTGATACCGTAGTACTCTCGTAACACCCCCGGGACAAATCGTGCATTTTTGCTCATGCCATTAAAATACTCCAAAAACGTTTATATGCCTTTCACCAGTGTATTTTTTGGTTTCCAACTATTGAACATTCATCCTCGGTACCTCTCATAAGTAGAGACCCCCTTCTTGAGGCAATAGACTCATCTTAAAGCAAGGCGACAAAAAGTAAAAAAAAACAGGTTAGGATAGGGCACCAGTTCCTCAGGTACACCCTTGGTGGTGGTCTCCCCCAGGACCCCAGGGGGGACCACCACCCGACCACCGCCAGCCAGCCAGGAGCGCGCTGACTGTGCCCTAACCTAACCACCCAAATAAGAGGAATGGACGATCTGGCCCGACAGGGTCAAGTCGGCATGGAAGTGCCCAACCGTTTCTGAAATTTTTTTACCTCAATCTGTCTCCTTATTCACTACTGCCACCTTGTCATGTCTAGGAGGGGGTTCTACATGTGGCCACCTAGTCATGTCTAGGAGGGGTTCTACATGTGGCCACCTAGTCATGTCTAGGATGGGTTCTACATGTGGCCACCTAGTCATGTCTAGGAGGGGTTCTACATGTGGCCACCTAGTCATGTCTAGGAGGGGTTCTACATGTGGCCACCTAGTCATGTCTAGGAGGGGTTCTACATGTGGCCACCTAGTCATGTCTAGGAGGGGTTCTACATGTGGCCACCTAGTCATGTCTAGGAGGGGTTCTACATGTGGCCACCTAGTCATGTCTAGGAGGGGTTCTACATGTGGCCACCTAGTCATGTCTAGGAGGGGTTCTACATGTGGCCACCTAGTCATGTCTAGGAGGGGTTCTACATGTGGCCACCTAGTCATGTCTAGGAGGGGTTCTACATGTGGCCACCTAGTCATGTCTAGGAGGGGTTCTACATGTGGCCACCTAGTCATGTCTAGGAGGGGTTCTACATGTGGCCACCTAGTCATGTCTAGGAGGGGTTCTACATGTGGCCACCTAGTCATGTCTAGGAGGGGTTCTACATGTGGCCACCTAGTCATGTCTAGGAGGGGTTCTACATGTGGCCACCTAGTCATGTCTAGGAGGGGTTCTACATGTGGCCACCTAGTCATGTCTAGGAGGGGTTCTACATGTGGCCACCTAGTCATGTCTAGAAGGGGTTCTACATGTGGCCACCTAGTCATGTCTAGGAGGGGTTCTACATGTGGCCACCTAGTCATGTCTAGGAGGGGTTCTACATGTGGCCACCTAGTCATGTCTAGGAGGGGTTCTACATGTGGCCACCTAGTCATGTCTAGGAGGGGTTCTACATGTGGCCATCTAGTCATGTCTAGGAGGGGTTCTACATGTGGCCACCATGTAGAACATATAGAACCCTTCTTGGACATGACTAGGTGGCCTGTTTTGGTCGCTGAGCCCAGGCTCATTCCGAACACAAGGATTACACAACCATGACTCCCGTGAATCAGGAACAGTTACTCCCACCATGTCAGCACTCCACGCCAGAATCCTTGAGGCGTACCATAAGTTTATACAGGAACTCAATAAAAGCACATGTGAATGGTGATTATTAAAGTACATTGGATTTTTCCTATTAAATTACATAAAACCCTCTGACAGTAAATAACACATTAACCCACTTTTTTTTTTGAGATATATACAAGAGTTGTTACATTCTTGTACAGCCACTAGTACGCGTAGCGTTTCGGGCAAGTCCTTAATCCTATGGTCCCTGGAATACGATCCCCTGCCGCGAAGAATCGTTTTTTCATCCAAGTACACATTTTACTGTTGCGTTAAACAGAGGCTACAGTTAAGGAATTGCGCTCAGTAAATCCTCCCCGGCCAGGATACGAACCCATGACATAGCGCTCGCGGAACGCCAGGCGAGTGTCTTACCACTACACCACGGAGACTGTTAAAATCACTTCCTCAGTTAAAGTCACTGCCACTCTTCCAGGTGTCTGTCGGCGTCTATGGCTACTTCATCCGCGCTATTGGTGTAGTGTCGGTGCTGCTGACGGTGGTGTTCTACTTCCTCTCTCAAGCGTGCTCTGTGGGCTCCAGCGTGTGGCTCACGGTCTGGTCCAACGACCCGGAGGCCGCCACCGACATTAAAGTCAGAGACAAGTACCTGGGCGTCTACGGTGCTTTGGGCGTCGGACAAGGTCAGTACCGGGGCGTCTACGGTGCTCTGGGCGTCGGACAAGGTCAGTACCGGGGCGTCTACGGTGCTCTGGGCGTCGGACAAGGTCAGTACCTGGGCGTCTACGGTGCTCTGGGCGTCGGACAAGGTCAGTACCTGGGCGTCTACGGTGCTCTGGGCGTCGGACAAGGTCAGTACCTGGGCGTCTACGGTGCTCTGGGCGTCGGACAAGGTCAGTACCTGGGCGTCTACGGTGCACTGGGCGTCGGACAAGGTCAGTACCTGGGCGTCTACGGTGCTCTGGGCGTCGGACAAGGTCAGTACCTGGGCGTCTACGGTGCTCTGGGCGTCGGACAAGGTCAGTCTCCAGTACACACAGCTCCTATTAATCTCTAAATATTAAACGATTTGTCCATATACTATTTCAAATTGTACAAAAGAACGTTTTTACAAGAATGTATTAATAATATGTAGAAATAACAGAAGGTATGAACCCTTCATATGTGTGTGTTGGTGCTCTCCTCAGACCAAAACTGGACCTGTCTTGACCGATAAATTGAAATGGAGTTGATCACATTATATACCACTGTAGCGTTAGTGTTAGTCTGCACCTGTAAGCCTTCCCACCTGTTGTTCGTGATCCAAGCTTGATACACAAGCTTTATGTAACCAAACTTGAGTTAAACTCATAATGCCATGTGGGGCCATAACTTACACGATGACGAAGGTAATTTTGGCCCTCAGTCTTTGTTACATTGTTAATAATATAAATGAAAATGATCGAATGTTTACAATAATAATAATAATAATATTATTATTATTATTATTATTATTATTATTATTATTATTATTATTATTATTATTATTTACATATGGAAAGCTATGCGAAAAAACCGTATGTGAAAAATAGAGAATGCTAAATGTGTTTTCAGCTTAATTCGCCTTCATCAGAGCAAAGTAGAATCATTCATTCTACTTTCCTCTGATGAAGGCGATTAAGCATTCTCTATTTTTCACATGTGGTTTTTCACATACTTGGATCAATGTGTTTGTGGTCGTTGTTGCATGGAAAGCTATAAATACAAATGATAAGATATTAGTTACCTAAAACGTTACCCTAAGTCTCATAGCGTTACTGACAAGCTCATGTTGCTTACAGCGGCTTTCATCCTTACCGGCTCCGTCATCATTGCACGCGGCATGATACACTCCTCGAGGACACTGCACAGGTTGCTCCTCAACAACGTGTTGCACAGCCCGATGTCCTACTTCGACATGACTCCCATTGGCAGGATCGTCAACCGGTTCTCCAAGGACCTGGACACCGTCGATGCCTCTCTTCCCTCCAACCTCAGGATGTGGGTGATATGCCTCCTCTCGGTAAGTTGTGGCTTCCTCTCGGTAAGTTGTGGCCTCCTCTCGGTAAGTCGTGGCTTCCTCTCGGTAAGTTGTGGCTTCCTCTCGGTAAGTTGTGGCCTCCTCTCGGTAAGTCGTGGCTTCCTCTCGGTAAGTTGTGGCTTCCTCTCGGTAAGTTGTTGCTTCCTGTCGGTAAGTTGTGGCCTCCTCTCGGTAAGTTGTTGCTTCCTGTCGGTAAGTTGTGGCTTCCTCTCGGTAAGTTGTTGCTTCCTGTCGGTAAGTTGTGGCCTCCTCTCGGTAAGTTGTGGCTTCCTCTCGGTAAGTTGTGGCCTCCTCTCGGTAAGTTGTTGCTTCCTGTCGGTAAGTCGTGGCTTCCTCTCGGTAATTCGTGGCTTCCTCTCGGTAAGTTGTGGCCTCCTCTCGGTAAGTTGTTGCTTCCTGTCGGTAAGTTGTGGCTTCCTCTCGGTAAGTTGTTGCTTCCTGTCGGTAAGTTGTGGCCTCCTCTCGGTAAGTTGTGGCTTCCTCTCGGTAAGTTGTGGCCTCCTCTCGGTAAGTTGTTGCTTCCTGTCGGTAAGTTGTGGCTTCCTGTCGGTAAGTTGTGGCCTCCTCTCGGTAAGTTGTGGCTTCCTGTCGGTAAGTTGTGGCTTCCTGTCGGTAAGTTGTGGCTTCCTGTCGGTAAGTTGTGGCCTCCTCTCGGTAAGTTGTGGCTTCCTGTCGGTAAGTTGTGGCTTCCTGTCGGTAAGTTGTGGCTTCCTGTCGGTAAGTTGTGGCTTCCTCTCGGTAAGTTGTGGCTTCCTGTCGGTAAGTTGTGGCTTCCTGTCGGTAAGTTGTGGCTTCCTCTCGGTAAGTTGTTGCTTCCTCTCGGTAAGTTGTGGCTTCCTGTCGGTAAGTTGTTGCTTCCTGTCGGTAAGTTGTGGCCTCCTCTCGGTAAGTTGTGGCTTCCTGTCGGTAAGTTGTGGCCTCCTCTCGGTAAGTTGTGACTTCCTGTCGTTAAGTTGTGGCTTCCTCTCGGTAAGTTGTGACTTCTTGTCGGTAAGTTGTGGCTTCCTCTCGGTAAGTTGTTGCTTCCTGTCGGTAAGTTGTGGCTTCCTCTCGGTAAGTTGTGACTTCCTGTCGGTAAGTTGTGGCTTCCTCTCGGTAAGTTGTTGCTTCCTGTCGGTAAGTTGTGGCTTCCTCTCGGTAAGTTGTGACTTCCTGTCGGTAAGTTGTGGCTTCCTCTCGGTAAGTTGTTGCTTCCTGTCGGTAAGTTGTGGCTTCCTCTCGGTAAGTTGTGACTTCCTGTCGGTAAGTTGTGGCTTCCTCTCGGTAAGTTGTTGCTTCCTCTCGGTAAGTTGTGGCTTCCTCTCGGTAAGTTGTGGCTTCCTCTCGGTAAGTTGTGGCTTCCTCTCGGTAAGTTGTTGCTTCCTGTCGGTAAGTTGTGGCTTCCTCTCGGTAAGTTGTGACTTCCTGTCGGTAAGTTGTGGCTTCCTCTCGGTAAGTTGTTGCTTCCTCTCGGTAAGTTGTGGCTTCCTCTCGGTAAGTTGTGGCTTCCTGTCGGTAAGTTGTGGCTTCCTCTCGGTAAGTTGTGACTTCCTCTCGGTAAGTTGTTGCTTCCTCTCGGTAAGTTGTGGCTTCCTCTCGGTAAGTTGTGGCTTCCTCTCGGTAAGTTGTGGCTTCCTGTCGGTAAGTTGTGGCTTCCTCTCGGTAAGTTGTTGCTTCCTGTCGGTAAGTTGTGGCTTCCTGTCGGTAAGTTGTGGCTTCCTGTCGGTAAGTTGTGGCTTCCTCTCGGTAAGTTGTGGCTTCCTCTCGGTAAGTTGTTGCTTCCTCTCGGTAAGTTGTTGCTTCCTCTCGGTAAGTTGTGGCTTCCTCACGGTAAGTTGTGGCTTCCTCTCGGTAAGTTGTTGCTTCCTCTCGGTAAGTTGTTGCTTCCTCTCGGTAAGTTGTGGTTTCCTCTCGGTAAGTTGTGACTTCCTCTCGGTAAGTTGTGACTTCCTCTCGGTAAGTTGTGGCTTCCTCTCGGTAAGTTGTGACTTCCTCTCGGTAAGTTGTTGCTTCCTCTCGGTAAGTTGTTGCTTCCTCTCGGTAAGTTGTGACTTCCTCTCGGTAAGTTGTGGCTTCCTCTCGGTAAGTTGTGGCTTCCTCTCGGTAAGTTGTGGCTTCCTCTCGGTAAGTTGTGACTTCCTTCACAGTGTTGATGGCTGTTACTTCCTTCATAGTGTTGATGGCTGTTACTTCCTTCACAGTGTTGATGGCCTGTTACTTCCTTCATAGTGTTGATGGCTGTTACTTCCTTCACAGTGTTGATGGCCTGTTACTTCCTTCACAGTGTTGATGGCTGTTACTTCCTTCACAGTGTTGATGGCCTATTACTTCCTTCACAGTGTTGATGGCTGTTACTTCCTTCACAGTGTTGATGGCTGTTACTTCCTTCACAGTGTTGATGGCTGTTACTTCCTTCACAGTGTTGATGGCCTGTTACTTCCTTCACAGTGTTGATGGCCTATTACTTCCTTCACAGTGTTGATGGCTGTTACTTCCTTCACAGTGTTGATGGCCTATTACTTCCTTCACAGTGTTGATGGCTGTTACTTCCTTCACAGTGTTGATGGCTGTTACTTCCTTCACAGTGTTGATGGCCTGTTACTTCCTTCACAGTGTTGATGGCTGTTACTTCCTTCACAGTGTTGATGGCCTATTACTTCCTTCACAGTGTTGATGGCTGTTACTTCCTTCACAGTGTTGATGGCTGTTACTTCCTTCACAGTGTTGATGGCTGTTACTTCCTTCACAGTGTTGATGGCTGTTACTTCCTTCACAGTGTTGATGGCCTGTTACTTCCTTCACAGTGTTGATGGCCTATTACTTCCTTCACAGTGTTGATGGCTGTTACTTCCTTCACAGTGTTGATGGCTGTTACTTCCTTCACAGTGTTGATGGCCTGTTACTTCCTTCACAGTGTTGATGGCTGTTACTTCCTTCATAGTGTTGATGGCTGTTACTTCCTTCACAGTGTTGATGGCCTGTTACTTCCTTCACAGTGTTGATGGCTGTTACTTCCTTTACAGTGTTGATGGCCTGTTACTTCCTTCACAGTGTTGATGGCTGTTACTTCCTTCACAGTGTTGATGGCTGTTACTTCCTTCACAGTGTTGATGGCCTGTTACTTCCTTCACAGTGTTGATGGCCTATTACTTCCTTCACAGTGTTGATGGCTGTTACTTCCTTCACAGTGTTGATGGCTGTTACTTCCTTCACAGTGTTGATGGCTGTTACTTCCTTCACAGTGTTGATGGCTGTTACTTCCTTCACAGTGTTGATGGCCTATTACTTCCTTCACAGTGTTGATGGCTGTTACTTCCTTCACAGTGTTGATGGCCTATTACTTCCTTCACAGTGTTGATGGCCTATTACTTCCTTCACAGTGTTGATGGCTGTTACTTCCTTCACAGTGTTGATGGCTGTTACTTCCTTCACAGTGTTGATGGCCTATTACTTCCTTCACAGTGTTGATGGCTGTTACTTCCTTCACAGTGTTGATGGCTGTTACTTCCTTTACAGTGTTGATGGCTGTTACTTCCTTCACAGTGTTGATGGCTGTTACTTCCTTCACAGTGTTGATGGCTGTTACTTCCTTCACAGTGTTGATGGCTGTTACTTCCTTCACAGTGTTGATGGCTGTTACTTCCTTCACAGTGTTGATGGCTGTTACTTCCTTCACAGTGTTGATGGCTGTTACTTCCTTTACAGTGTTGATGGCTGTTACTTCCTTCACAGTGTTGATGGCCTATTACTTCCTTCACAGTGTTGATGGCTCGTTGTTTTAACAGTGTCCTGGGCATTCTCTGGAGGACTGACTGTCAAGTAGTAGTCTACAGTGCTTGTTGGTTTACAGTGGTTTACAGTCGGTTACTGTTTGTTTACAGTGCTTGTTGGTTTACAGTGGTTTACAGTTGGTTTACAGTGCTTGTTGGTTTACAGTGGTTTACAGTTGGTTTACAGTGCTTGTTGGTTTACAGTGGTTTACAGTTGGTTTACAGTGCTTGTTGGTTTACAGTGGTTTACAGTTGGTTACAGTTTGTTTACAGTGCTTGTTGGTTTACAGTGGTTTACAGTTGGTTTACAGTGCTTGTTGGTTTACAGTGGTTTACAGTTGGTTTACAGTGCTTGTTGGTTTACCGTCTGCCTGGGGATTACAGTTATGTTGTCTTGCAAACTGTTGGACGTAAACACTTACATGGTCCCTTAATTTTACACTGCAGTATCAGGTGAATATTTTGTATATACAATTTCTTTGGTTTTTACTCCTAAGATGACAAATACCATTTAAGGAGGGCATGCAACTAGGATTTTAAAAATTGTTCAATTGCAATCAAACTTTTTTGAGTAGTTGTTTATGACAAAGGCTTCAATTGTTCCAAGTTTCAGTAGCGCAGCGTAAATGGAAAAGGAATTTTTTTTTTTCAACGAATGTTACACATTTTCAAAAAAATTTCTACAACCACACGTTTCAAGTTAAATCATTTCTATGACACTCTTCTATCACATTAGTATATAACAAAGGATTGGTATTACCGGATTTTCCGTAATAAGTTTAATTTTTCTAGTACAAATCGTCAAAGTTTCCCCCCAAAATTATGTAAATATATCATGTTCATTACTATTTATAAAACCAATAAGTGAACTTAAGGAAAAAATATTTCTTACCAATTGTAGAGACATAAACGCTACATATAAGATGTAAGTTTTATGTAAACTGAATAAAAAATGAAAGAGTACAAGTTTATGTTATTTGAAAAGAAATAATTAAAAAATGAAGTTTAATGTGCTGCCACCTGTGGCTGAGGTTGACATCAACTAATTTCCTCCAAAATTGGCACCCTTACAGATAGGCTTACGTGCAGTCAGGTGTATAAGTTTCATGCAAATCATCCGATAAAAAAATAGGAAAAAAAATTGAATATATGTTTTTTTTTAATTTTGGGGAGATAAAACTAGTTATTACAATTTTTTTTATTATATGCTATTGTGATAGCTAAGAGTCATAGATATAATTTCAGTTAACATTTGTGTTTGATACTAATTTTCGAACATTTTGGAAAATTGTTGACACTTAATTAAATATTTTTTTCTCCATTCCTATTTATGCTACGATGCTGAGACTTGGAGCAGTTGAAGCCCTTTTCATATACAACTACTCAAAAAAGTTTGATTAAAATCGAACTAGTTTTCATTTATTGCATATTTTTTTGTATATTTGAAAATTTCAATGCTTACTGATATAACCACCAATATTATATGGACCTCTATATATTGTCTCTTGTAATTTCAGACGTTTCAGACCTCGATATTACTGACCTTGTTTATAATAATTTTAAATTTTTTCGGCATGTTTTATTTTTAATTTATTTTAATTTTTTATTTTAATTTTTTTTTTACAATATATTATTTATGTGGTTACACCATTATTGTTGACGTGAAGGTGTTGTCGACGTTCGTGGTGATCATCAGCGCCACTCCGGTGTTCGTGGCAGTAATGATCCCTACCATGGTCATCTATTACTTCGTGCAGGTGAGATGCCCTTCTCTCTGCCTCACACTCTCCCATCCCACACACCTCAACAATTAAGAACTGACAACGTTTCGGTCCGTCCTGGACCATCATGGTCCGTCCTGGACCATCATGGTCCGTCCTGGACCATCATGGTCCGTCCTGGACCATCATGGTCCGTCCTGGACCATCATGGTCCGCCCTGGACCATCATGGTCCGCCCTGGACCATCATGGTCCGCCCTGGACCATCATGGTCCGTCCTGGACCATCATGGTCCGTCCTGGACCATCATGGTCCGCCCTGGACCATCATGGTCCGCCCTGGACCATTATCAAGTCGAGTATTACACGACTTATAATGGTCCAGGATGGACCGAAACGTTGACTAGACAATGGGCCTGAGTTTTAATCACTGCCTGACCCTAAATAAGTTCCATGAATTTTAATAAATGCCATGACCTTTAATCCCTGTCATGACCTTTAATCTCTGCCATGACCTTTAATCCCTGTCATGACCTTTAATCTCTGCCATGACCTTTAATCTCTGCCATGACCTTTAATCTCTGTCATGATCTTTAATCTCTGTCATGACCTTTAATCCCTGTCATGACCTTTAATCTCTGCCATGACCTTTAATCTCTGCCATGACCTTTAATCTCTGTCATGACCTTTAATCTTTGCCATGACCTTTAATCTCTGTCATGACCTTTAATCTCGGCCATGACCTTTAATCTCTGCCATGACCTTTAATCTCTGTCATGACCTTTAATCTCTGCCATGACCTTTAATCTCTGCCATGACCTTTAATCTCTGTCATGACCTTTAATCTCTGCCATGACCTTTAATCTCTGTCATGACCTTTAATCTCTGCCATGACCTTTAATCCGTCATGACCTTTAATCTCTGTCATGACCTTTAATCTCTGTCATGACCTTTAATCCGTCATGACCTTTAATCCGTCATGACCTTTAATCTCTGCCATGACCTTTAATCCCTGTCATGACCTTTAATCTCTGGCATGACCTTTAATCTCTGCCATGACCTTTAATCTCTGCCATGACCTTTAATCTCTGTCATGACCTTTAATCTCTGTCATGACCTTTAATCTCTGCCATGACCTTTAATCTCTGTCATGACCTTTAATCTCTGCCATGACCTTTAATCCGTCATGACCTTTAATCTCTGTCATGACCTTTAATCTCTGTCATGACCTTTAATCCGTCATGACCTTTAATCCGTCATGACCTTTAATCTCTGCCATGACCTTTAATCCCTGTCATGACCTTTAATCTCTGGCATGACCTTTAATCTCTGTCATGACCTTTAATCTCTGCCATGACCTTTAATCTCTGCCATGACCTTTAATCTCTGCCATGACCTTTAATCTCTGCCATGACCTTTAATCTCTGTCATGACCTTTAATCTCTGCCATGACCTTTAATCTCTGTCATGACCTTTAATCTCTGTCATGACCTTTAATCTCTGTCATGACCTTTCATGATGTCATCACCTTTAATCTCTGCCATGACCTTTAATCTCTGCCATGACCTTTAATCTCTGCCATGACCTTTAATCTCTGTCATGACCTTTAATCTCTGCCATGACCTTTAATCTCTGCCATGACCTTTAATCTCTGTCATGACCTTTAATCTCTGCCATGACCTTTAATCTCTGCCATGACCTTTAATCTCTGCCATGACCTTTAATCTCTGTCATGACCTTTAATCCGTCATGACCTTTAATCTCTGTCATGACCTTTCATGATGTCATCACCTGCTGTTATATATTATACATCTTTATAAATAACTTGTTAATGATCTTTTATATAAGTGAAACACCTGAAGCCTCGGTGGCTTTTACAGTTGCTTCGTTATTACAACCTTTCGTAATTCAATACTTAATTCTCACAAGAAAATATGATAATTAAGATCTAAACACAATTTCATTGTTTATCATTTAATGTCAAAGAAAATCATGGATTGAAACAGATCATTTGTCTCCACAAATGTGGTGGCTCTTTTGGGTGAATTGGCTCCAACTTTAGCTTCACAAGCTAGACGACTTGGGTTCGAATCCTTGGCAGTATTAGACGACTGGTCACCCTTCTTTTACTCCCTCACGGGTGCAGCCTACAGAAATCATCAGCCTGGTTGTAAAACGACTGTAGGATTGACACACAGAAATCACAATTGCGTGATGCATCAAATGAACAAAAAAAACACCAGGGCCGTGACGAGGATTCAAACCTGCGCCCGAGAGCATCCCAGACGCTGCCTTAATCGACGCTCTCGGACGCAGGTTCGAATCCTCGTCACGGCCCTTGTGGATTTGTTCACTATAGGATTGAGTTAAGGGTAATTAAGGTGATGAATAGCCCAACCGGTTTAACATAAGTTCACACACTTTAAGCATGATCATCTGTATCATGCTATGCTGGTTCTTAGTATGTTATCAGCTACCTTGACATTTAATTAACTGAACATTTTTAGTATTATTTTCCTTGACATTAACCTGAACATTTCAGGTGCTGTATGTGTCAACGTCACGACAACTGAAGAGAATTGAGTCGGTGTCTCGCTCGCCCATATACTCTCATTTCCAGGAGACTATACAAGGTATGGAAGTGTTAGTGGTGTATTGTTATATAGTGTATTACACACACACACACACACACACACACACACACACACACACACACACACACACACACACACACACACACACACACACACACACACACACACACAAGGGGACACAGGTGGAAGCTGAGTACCCAAATGAGCCACAGAGACGTTAGAAAGAACTTTTTCAGTGTCAGAGTAGTTAGCAAATGGAATGCATTAGGAAGTGATGTGGTGGAGGCTGACTCCATTCACAGTTTCAAATGTAGATATGATAGAGCCCAATAGGCTCAGGAATCTGTACACCAGTTGATTGACGGTTGAGAGGCGGGACCAAAGAGCCAGAGCTCAACCCCCGCAAGCACAATTAGGTGAGTACAATTAGGTGAGTACACACACACACACACACACACACACACACACACACACACACACACACACACACACACACACACACACACACACACACACACACAGCTCTGGCTCTTTGGTTGAGAGGCGGGACCAAAGAGCCAGAGCTCAACCCCTGCAAACACAACTAGGTGAGTACAACTAGGTGAGTACACACACACACACACACACACACACACACGCATATGCGTTCCATAGTGTATAGTAGGTCACTGGAGACGGGAGACCTACCAGAAATATGGAAGACGGCGAATGTGGTCCCAATATACAAAAAGGGCGACAGACAAGAGGCACTGAACTACAGGCCAGTGTCCTTAACTTGTATACCATGCAAGGTGATGGTGAAGATCGTAAGAAAAAAACCTGGTAACACATCTGGAGAGAAGAGACTTCGTGACAACCCATCAACATGGGTTCAGGGAGGGTAAATCTTGTCTTACAGGCTTAGTAGAATTCTACGATCAAGTAACAAAGATTAAGCAAGAAAGAGAACGCTTGGCGGACTGCATTTTCTTGGATTGTCGGAAAGCCTTTGACACAGTACCCCATAAGAGGCTGATACATAAGCTGGAGTGACAGGCAGGAGTGACTGGCAAGGTGCTCTAGTGGATAAGGGAGTACTTAAGCAATAGGAAGCAGAGAGTTGCAGTGAGGAGTGAGACCTCAGATTGGTGTGAAGTCACCAGTGGAGTCCCACAGGGCTCTGTATTCCGTCCTATCCTGTTTCTGATATACGTAAATGATCTCCCGGAGGGTATAGACTCATTCCTCTCAATGTTTGCTGACGACGCCAAAATTATAAGAAGGATTAAGATAGAGGAGGACAGTTTGAGGCTTCAAGAAGACCTAGACAAACTGAAGGAATGGTCGAACAAGTGGTTGTTGGAGTTTAACCCAAGCAAATGTAATGTAATAAAAATAGGGGTAGGAAGCAGGAGATCAGATACAAGGTATCATTTGGGAGAAGAAATTCCTCCTGAGTCAGAGAGAGAGAATGACCTGGGGGTTGATATCACGCCAGACCTGTCCCCTGAAGCCCATATCAAGAGGATAATATCAGCGGCATATGCCAGGTTGGCCAACATAAGAACGGCATTTAGAAACTTGTGTAGGGAATCATTCAGAACTTTGCATACCACATATGTCAGACCAATCTTGGAGTATGCAGCTCCAGCATGGAGTCCATATCTAGTCAAGCATATGATTAAACTGGAGAATGTTCAAAGGTTTGCCAGCAGACTTGTACCCGAGCTGAGAGGTATGAGCCACGAGGAGAGACTACATGAGTTAAACCTCACGTCACTGGAAGACAGAAGAGTTAGGGAGGGACATGATCACCACATACAAGATTCTCAAGGGAATCGATAGGGTAGATAAAGACAGGCTATTTAACACAAGGGGCACACGCACTAGGGGACACAGGTGGAAATTGAGTGTCCAAATGAGCCACAGAGATATTAGAAAGAACTTTTTTAGTGTCAGAGTGGTTGACAAATGGAATGCATTAGGAAGTAATGTGGTGGAGGCTGACTCCATACACAGTTTCGAGTGTAGATATGATAGAGCCCAATAGGCTCAGGAACCTGTACACCAGTTGATTGACAGTTGAGAGGCGGGACCAAAGAGCCAGAGCTCAACCCCCACAAGCACAATTAGGTGAGTACAATTAGGTGAGCACACACACACACACACATTAAGAAAGAAGAAAACAGTAGGAGGCTACAAGATGACGTAGACAGACTGAATGAATGGTCCAACAACTGGCTACTAAAGCTCAACCCGAGTAAATGCAAGGTCATGAAACTAGGCGGTGAACACAGGAGGCCAGACACAGGATACCAAATGGGAAATTTAAGTACTTCATGAAATGGACAGAGAGAAAGATCTAAGAGTTGATATCACGTCAAACCTGTCTCCTGAAGCCCACATCAAAAGTATAACATTGGTGGCATATGCGAGGGTGGCTAACATCAGACCTGCCTTCAGGAACCTGTGTAAGAAATCCTTCAGAACCTTGTATACCACATTTGTGAGGCCTATCCTGGAGTATGTGGTCCCAGCATGGAGCCCATACCATGCCAAACTCAAGAAGAAGTTGGAAAAAAATCAGAGGTATGTCACTAGACTAGTCCCAGAACAAAGAGGCATGAGTTATGAGGAAAGGCTTCGTGAACTGCACCTCACGTCTCTGGAAAAAAGAAGAGCTTAGGAAGAAATGATTACCACATACAAAATTCTCAGGAGAATTGACAGGGTAGACAAGGATGGACTATTTAACACGGGTGGTAGACGCACTAGGGGACACAGGTGAAAACTTAGTACCCAAATGAGCCACAGAGACATTAGAATTATCTTTTTCATTTTTCAGAGTAGTTAATAAATGGAATTCACTATGAAGTGATGTGGTGGAGGCTGACTCCATAAACAGTTTCAAATGTAGATGTGATAGAGCTTGAGAAGCTCAGGAATCTGTACACCAGTTGATTGATGGTTGAGTGGTGGAACGAACGAGCCAAAACTCAACCCCAACAAGCACAACTAGGTGAGTTCACACATTGGATGCAGCACTGGAATAGGGAACGAACATGGCAGGGAGATACCAAAACACAGAGGGAGGTGAGGGACAAGATGACTCGTTTAAGAAGGCAATCATTCACATGTGAAGCCAAATCAGTGTAGAACTGAAGATAATGAGGGAGACAGTAACCAACCTGCAGGATGAGCTGAAGAAGGCAAAGGAGGAGTTAAATCCTACAACCCTCATTTGCAGATATAATTAGAAAGAATCCTGAGGCTATGTCTGCAGTAAAGAAAATTGACATGGAAGTTGCTACTTCTCAGGAAGCAGCAAGATGTACTAGCCAACTGATAGAGAGGAAAAGAGCAGTAGTCGTAGTAGGTATTAAGATACAAGCAGGGGTCAGTCCAGTGGAGTGGAGAGATGAGGGCAACAACACAGTTAAAGAAATCCTTAAAGGGGTATGGATGGAGAGGGATGAACAAAATATAGAAAAGGTTTTCAGGCTCAGCCAGTTCATCAAGGACAAAAACCGATTGATAAAAGTGGTATTCACAAGCAAGAACACAAAAGAGGACATTTTAATAAGGAAGAACAGACTATTCAATGTACTGAAGTTCAAAACTGTATTTCTGCAGAGGGATATGACAAAGGAAGAGAGAATGAGGGCAACAGCAGTGAGGAAGGAGCACAGGGTGAGAGAAAGGAATCAGGGAACTTCAGACCCAAAGATTAAAATCTAAGAGAAAGTGGGGAATCCTCCATGGGCAGTTCAACAGCCCCAGTGGGAAGAGCTTCACCCCCAGCTTCCACACAATGGAAGCCCCTACCTGTCCCAGTCCCCTGCCAGCCCCCACTAAGTGCCCACCTAGGCCACCCTCCTCCCACTTCCCCCTCTCTCCAGGATCTCCCTTCTTCCCCACCCTCCAAGCCCTCCCTTCTCGCACATCCCCCAAACCCTCCCTCCTCCCCTACCCCCCTCTCTCCCCCCACCCCCAAGTTTTCTCCTCTCCCCACCCTCTCAAGCCCTCCCTTCTCCCCCTACCCAAGCCTTTGGGGGGGGGGGAGCGGCGTTGACTCCCACCCTCTCCATTCCAGATCCTCCCAGACCCCCTCACACCCCAGATCTCCCAGGTCCCATTCCTAGGCCCTCACATCCCGGACACTTCCGGATTCCATACTTCATAAAAAATAAACAGGTACTGCAGATGGACAGAAAAGAGTCAGCTTCAAGGAACCATAACGAATGTGGTGTTTCCCCAGGTCTACACTGTATTAAGGAAAGAGAGGGAGGGAAGGAGAGGAGGTGGAATGGCCCTACTAATGAGAAAGGAATGGAGTTTCAAGGAAATGGTTATCCCAGGCTGCGAGCGGTTCAAAGATTACATAACAGGCACCATGCCAATGGGAGGACCAAGAGTAGTAGTAGTAGTAGCAGTGATATATAACCCTCCACCAAATGACAGAAGACCCAGGCAAGAGTATGACAGAAACAACATGGCAGTTAACACTATAATTGAGAAGGCAGCCTCTGCTGCCTGAAGAAATAGATCCCATCTGCTCATCATTGGGGACTTCAATCACGGACTGGGAGAACAAGGAACCACATTGAGGTGAGGGAACATGGAGAGCTAAACTTTTGGAGGTGGCGACAAAAACATTTTAATCCAGCATGTCAGGCGACCAACAAGAATGAGGGGAAACGATGAACCAGCGAGACTCGACCTAGTCTTCACACAGAATGACTCCAACATAAGGTATATCAGTTTCGAGCCCCCAGTAGGAATGAGCGATCACAGTGTACTGACGGTTGAGTATCTGGACGAAGAAGGGTTAATGAACTCAAGGAAAGGACCTGAAAACAAAAGGCTGGCATTCCGAAAGAGAAACTATGAGGAGATAAGAAAATTCCTAACAGATATAACATGGGAAGCATAGCTCAGAGGAAAGACGGGCCAAGACATGATGGACTACATCACACAGAAGTGTAAGGAGGCAGCGGACAAGTTAGTCCTGGTCCGAAAACGAAATGCAGATGAGAAATCCATGGTTTAATCATAGATGA